GCTCAAGTTTTAAAAATAATAAGTTTTAGCTTATTTCACAGACGTTTTTATAAATTTTTTTTTTTTTTTAAAGAGTAAAGCTAATAAATTTTAAAAGAATTAACCAAAAAGATAATTTATAGTACCAAGATAATTTAACCCATTCTTGTAAACCAGCATGACAGCTTTATTTTAAAGCTATTTTGCATTTTTGCAATTAAAAAAATTCTTTTCAATTAAAAAATTTAAATTCAAAAAAAAAGACAAAGCGCTGAGGACATTTTTTGCTACTTACTTGTTACAGTCTTCTTTGTGATGAACTAAAAATAAATGTTCATTTGCCAAATCAAACAAAATCATAAAAATGCAAATATAAAACAAAAAATGATGGCAGCAGAAAAAATGTTTGCTTATTGTGCAAAGAAGAAATGTTAACATAAAGCATAAAATGTTAACATAAAGAATCAAGAAGTCTATATCACTATATCTGCTCTGAATTAAGCCAGGAGATAAATTCAGACCAGATATAATCAAAGAAAAGATGTGGCTATATGTCTAGATCTATATAAGTTTGTAAAAATACAAATTAGGTGTAAAACTTATGGGCAACCTTGTGGCTGTTGTGATCTCATTGATATAGAATGAAAAGTGAAAAACTTAGGTTTGAGTTATAATACCACCAGGATTTATTTTAAGCTAAATATTGTCATCTTACATTTGCATATTTTAATATGGAAAATATTTTCTTATATTAACAATAAACAAAATTATTCTTACCTTAAAATTTTTTTTTTTCTTTCCTAAACTGTTAGTTAATGATCAATAGAGTAAATTTCAAATCTTGAAAATTACTAAATTAAAACCATTTTGCAACAGTATCCAACAGACTGTTTCTCAACAGTATCCACACTAAAATGAAATAATGTTGGTAAATATGAAGAGATATTCAATAGAAAAAATTTAAAGGTTTTGTTGATTAAAAGAAATTTAACATAAACTTTTGTTTTTTTAGTTCTATATGTCCAATTATTAACTAATCTGCAGCTATAAATTTTTTTTAGCTTGTCTAAAAAAGCCATTTAAAAATGTCTTCTTAATCGGGTCAATGAATCTTCTTTATGTAAAGGAGAGCATGCAATTAAAACATTATCATTAGGTATCTTCACATTTAAAAGAGTATCATGTAGATTTGCATTATAATAAAAAAATTATTTACATAAAAAACTCAACATGCTTCAGTTACTCTGTAACAAACACATAATGTTCAGATAGAATAATGTTTTTAAATATATGTGGCTATGAAAATAACCGGTTTTTTTTGGCAGTTTTTTTTAATTGCTTATTCTATTGCATTGTCTGATATACTTTTTTATTTCGTTTACTCTGACAGATTTTCGTGATTTTGCTGTTTTTTTAGATTTCAATGAAGAATTTGGATTAGGGTATGGTTGAAGTCTAAAATAAAACAAATATTAATTATAAAAACAAAAAATAAAAATATTTAAATTTTTGAAGGAAGATTACTAACAGGGCGGCGAGAGCCGTCACACCGCATGGGATAGCAACCCTGATCGGCACCCCTATTTATTAAAACCTCCCTAAGTTATAGATGAGGGACTATTTTTTAAGATATCTTTTTCTCGTTTGGTACCCCTTGGATATCTAACTGTCCCTTTCAACCCCCCCCCCCTCTTCCTCTTGGCAACTCTGGTTACTAATATTCTGTAAAAATAGTTCAGGAAAATTTAACTGAAAAACCAAAAGAAATAAAAAATAAGTATGTAAATTGAAGTCAAGTAATAAATATAACAAATTCAAATACTAATTTAATTAGTATATGTTATAGTATATGGATTGTTCTAATTATTACTTAACTTCAATATACATACTTATTTTTTATATTATTTATTATTAATATGTTTGTTCTAATAATAAGAACAAAAAGGAAACACATATATAATAAATAATAGCATTGTTTATTGCACAACAGACAACTTCAGATTTTGTAATGACTGTGACTACAAAAGCATTATCTGTATCAAGTAGTTACTGTAACACAAAAAAAACAATCACTTCTGTTCGGGAAAATATTTAGAAGGAATAAAAAATTGAGGTTTTCAAGTTTTTGACAAATTGTCAAATTTTTGTGGCCAGGTACACTAACCTTTCATTTTGATCTTCGTTTACATATATATAAGGCTAGTTGCATTAGTTATTAATAATTTATCAGCAGCTATTAATAATTTATATAACAATCATTAGTTTCTTACCAAGTTGTAGCAATCTTGACATTTCCAAAATTTATCTTTGTTTTCAAAAGAAATATTGTTGATTTTTTCGCATTCCTTATGAAACCAATGTTTACAAGCATAACATTGAGCCATTTGCCTACAAATAAGAATGAGCCTTTTAAATAAGTTTTCATTTTTTGTGTATAATCTTTTTTTATCCAAACTAGTATACTAATGTCTCTCTTATTCCCGACAGCACTCAATATTTCTGATATATATATATATATATATATATATATATATATATATATATATATATATATATATATATATATATATATATATTAGGGATGTACCGAAGCTTCGACTTGCCGAAGCCAGGTCAATTTTTTGCCGAATCTTTGGCTTCGGCAAAAAATTTTAAGTAATTAAAGTTATAAGCTACTGTTGTACAAGTTATAAAAATATGCTAATTGCCAGTGTCTAATTAAGTTGTAAATTCAGGACTACAAAGTTAAAGTTGGAGTCTATACCATATACTTAGTATTGTTTACTCCCAAATGTCTTGTTATGGAGGGGATGATAATAAATAAGTAGAAATATTTTGAATATAATAGTAAAATTAAGGAAGGTCCTCATACACTTTGAAGGCTTCCAAGTGTGACTTAGATGAACTGAATCAGCATTTTTATGCAGAATAAAAACCTTATAATTTAAAACAAATTAAAACTTTTTAAAAATAAAATGAAAAAAAAACCTAAATTTGTATTATGTAACGAATTTATATTAATTTTTGTGTGGGATTACCGCAAATAGAACAAAAATTGGTTTCAACATTTGACCTATAAACCTTAGTAATCTCACTTTAAAGAAGATTAAAGATACGTTGCTACTATTTTAAATTCTGTGTATGTTTAGTTTTTTTAAATTTTATTTAACCATAATAATAAAAATTTACAAATTTTCATCGTAAGATTACAGAAATTGGTTAGGTGTCACTTATAAAGTTACAAACTAGTCAATGGAGTGACACATAAAAAACATAAAGTTCTCAACAACAAAAAAGGAAGAAAAGCAAATGAAATATAAATGAGGAGAATAAAAAAAGAAATAAAAAGTCAACCAAAACTATATAAATTTAAAGAAAAAGAGAAACAATGATAATAATTATCCTTGCTCTTTTATTAATATTATGAATACTTCTAAATTGAATTTATATATTAAACATATAAACTTATATTCTGGTTTCTTCTTATGATATGAAGACTTTTAAATTTTATTTAAAATAAATTAAAGGTTAAAGCTTTGATTACTTTGAGCTCTTATATTTATCATCAAAATTTATTTAAATTAAATAAACAATTTAAATCAAATAAATATCAGCCTGCTCAGTCCCTGTTTATTTATAAATATAAAATAAATAATAATATAATTATAAATGAAAAATTTATAAAGTATTCTATTTATTGTTTTATTTAAAGCTCACTCTACTGAGTTGTTAGATTACTATAGAAGTTTTTGTAACAGATAGTTAATATTTGATTTCAGATACTGATGCAGATTTATCCATTACAGAGACAGAAGAAGAATGAATACTATAATTTCAGAGTGTAAAAGATTAATAGAAGCTTAAGAAAATGTTATGTAGTGTAAAATTTAAAATAGTAAAAAAAAAAAAAAAAAACAATTTAAAAGTGTGTAAAAAAGAAGTTAGAGAGAAATCTATCAATTGTACTTTTTTTTAGCAGCAGGTTCACAACAATTGTAGTGGAATACAAAATGGTCTAAACTTGGGGTTTTTTTAGTTTAGAAATTGTTCGTTTAATGAATACAGAGAAGCAAAAAAAAGATATTGAAATAAATAGCAATAAAAAGATAAAGTGTGTTTGTAAGATTTTTTATGTTGTAGATTCAACTAGATCAGCTAAGAGTGTTTATTTAAAGAAAGAGTGTTCAAGTGTAAAAGATTAATTTACTTTAGTAATATTTAGAGATTTTTATCCACTCTTAACAAAAGGAGCGTTAAAAATAAAAATAAAATATGCAGCACATGAAAAGATGCGTAACAGTAATTTATGGGGATAAAATTTGAGGATGTTCAGCTAGCACACTATAATTAGATAGAGCAAACAAGATGATTAAATAGAGGATTAAAAATTAGATGATTAGATAGAGGATTAAAGAGAAACGATGTTTACATAGAAGAACAGTATGGCTATAAAAGATCAAAAAAATCAGAAAAACTTTCAAACAGATCAGAGAAACTTTCAAACAGGGGCGCTGATAGCTTTTGCCCTGCCTGGGGCAGCAACCCTGACTTGTGTCCTCATTTTTAAACATTTTTTCTATATTATTAGTCAAGGATCTTAGTTTTGGAACCTTTTTTGTTTTACACCCCTGCTGATTTGAATGCTGATTAAATTTTAAGCATATATAGTGCCGAAGCTTCGGCTTCGGCCGAAGCTTCGGCTTCGGCAAAGTGGCTTCGGCCGAAGCTTCGGCTTCGGCAAAATTTTAGCTTCGGTACATCCCTAATTAAATTTAGGCCAATTAAGGTCATCTTGAATTGCTTCTTCTATATAATTTTTTTAATGTTTAAAAATAAAACTAATAAAATACTAAAACTTTCTCCATTATATGATAAAAAATTGTGCAAAGATTTATACATTTTATCAAAATTCAATTTGTCAAAAAAAAATTTAATAATTAACATAATGATATATAAAATTTTCTAATAATATGAAACACAATATACTATTTATAATAACTAAGCTATCTTATAAAGCATACCATCGCTACTATCATGTTCTTCATTGTTGGCCGTTAGAATTTTTTAAAATACCCACTGATTTAATATTTCGCCATGTGTTGCGAAGCTTCTCGGACAACTTTCCACCAACTATAGTTTTTTTACTCGTAGGAGCAGTATACCATGTTTCCTAATACAGAAGATATTAAACATATATATTACTAACAACGATTTCGTTAAAAATCATATAGATCATATCAACTCATAAGTTTATAAGTTACTTACAAGCTTTTCTGAGGGAAAATGTGTAACAATAGCATTTGCTGATTCACAGACATCTGCATTAGTTGGACGATTTCTACAGAAAAATTTAAAAAGAATTTATATATCAAAAATAATTTTATCAAATTTTCATATGCATTTGCATTACTACAATGTTATAATTTTATATTTGTAACTTTAGTAATAAATAATAAGTAAAGACAATAATAAATAAAACTAATTTTGAAAATCTAATAACTTATTACTTACTGCAATCCTTTCTTTTGAATAATATGGTTGACTGCTATTCTAGCCAACTTGCTGCGTAAACTAAAGGTTAGATTTAAAGCACTTAACACAATAATCCCATCTGTGCAAGAATTCAGGATGGGGTCTAAATCATTCTATTAAATTTATAAATAATATTTAAGTGTTACAAAACAAAATATAATTTATAATTAAAATCATCATACTTATGATACAAATGATATGTTATCAATAATGCAAATTAAGTATTATAATATTTTCTTTAACAGAATTTATAAAAATAGTTAAACATTATAAAGAAAAATATTTCAAACCTCAAAGAGAGTATTGTTTTTATGATGAAGTACAGTTTTTGATGCAAAAATTATTTTACCAGCTGTATCTTGAAATGGCTTAGCTTGTTGTATACACTGATTCTTGAATGGCCTTGTTACCTTGTTATTGTCCAAACTGAAATCTATTTCACTTTGGCTCAAAGTAGCTGATTCTATAATCAAATTCACAAAGGTTGCATTATTCACATAGGATGCAAACAGTATTACTAGTATTGTGAGAGTGAGAAACATTATTATATAAAAAAATCAAGTGTTTAAGTATTTTTAAAAATGTTATAGCCTCTTTTAAATCTTTTATTATTAATATGTAAGACAAATACCAAAGTTAGCATATCCGTTTTCTTTCTTACAGTTTTGGGGTTCAAATAACACGATTGACATACTGAGTGCGGCTAAATATTATTTATAAACTGTTAGGTATATTTTTGATAAAAATATTATGTATATAATATTAAAAACAAAAAAACGAGTAACATGTAATTTGGTGATTTGCTATTCGTAACTTTTACCACTTTTACTGTTAGGTGAATTTTTAAACACATGACAAAAAAGTATAAAAAAATAACTGTACTGGATAACGTGTTTAGTATTGCATTGCTCTTAGAGAAATGAGCTAACTCAATATCTTCAACAAGATTCAAATTGTCTTCCACTAAAGTTATACTAAATTGTGTTATATGTAATATTTCCATAATTATTTAGAAATGTTATAATATAAAAATACTTGTTCAAAATACCTTTATGTAAAACTGGTGCATGATCACAATAGACACACAAATCAAAACCTTTCTCTTTTGTGTATTCATCACAATCACATTCTGCTTTGAGACATTGCATTCTACTTCTCCCTTTTTTATCCTTCATTTTTAATAACACTATAAAAATGAGGAAAAATAAAGAAACAGAAAAACAACTTTACTTAATCATTTTATAATCAAGTTTTTTATTTGATTATATAAAATTATTTAGAAAAAACAACACTAAATGAAAAAGGAAACCCATAAATGAAGTAATGTAAATATATCATTTTAGAAGTTATAGCAAAAATAATACTTATCTATAATATAATAATTTTGTGGGTTATATATTATAATATAAAATAACATAATTTATTGTTTTTAAATAAATAATTAACATCAGTTCACTAAAAACAAAACAAATTACATTTGTTTAAAACTTAGAGAAACAAAAAAAAGAGCAGTATTGAAAAGTTCGTTTTTTCAAAAGGAAAGTAACCTTTGCAAACTAAAATAGAAATGAAAAAACTAAAAATGTTCAGATGAATTCAGATGGCAATAATATCTTACATACTACTTATAAAACTTATTTAGTTTAAGGTAAAGACATTGTTTAAAGAATTTCAAATTTTTTGTTGTAACAATTGAGACTTGTTTCCTTGAAGGTACCTATAGTTCCTTTCGTGACACAAATTTAGAATGAGTATAACTAAAAATTTAGAATACTACTAACAATGTCTTTACTCCAAATTAAATAGATATAGTATCTTTTTAATTTGGAGTAAAGACATGGTTAGTAAAATTTATAGGTAGTATGTCATTTCTCCTTTGAAAAACAAGGCTTTTCAATTTTGCCCTTAAGAATATAAAATACTTACACAACTTTTTTTTATTAAAAATAAAAAAATAAAATAAATTTAAGTGCTACTAAGTTAAATGCTGCCAGGATCAATAGTTATATTTTGTGCATTAATGACAAGTATTTACTTTGATTTAAATTTCGTAGTTTCAACGGCCAAGGTGAGATAATGGTATCAAAGTGAGAGCAATTTAAAACAATTAATTATGTTTCAATGTCAACCTCAAAAGATTGTAAGTGATAGCATTCAGTTATAATAAACAACTTTTGACAAATAAAATAAATTAGAATCAGATACGAAAATTTGTTTGATTAGACAAAATGCAGGATATGATTCTTCAACTGCATATATAACAACATCACCAATTTTGAAGCTAACAAAGTTAACAGAAACACACTTTGTCTGAAAAATTTCTCTATACAACCCATAATTACCAATCAACTCTGATATAGTTTTTCCATTAATCACATGGCATAGTAAAATAGGTTCAGTTTTAGTAACACAAAATTCATTATTTTTTAAGCCATGTTTTGCCATGAATCGAGTTGACTGATCCATTTGGTGTCTAATAGCTACTGTTTTACAAACATTTTTAAAATTTCCAACAGACGAAGCAGTTTTCTAAAAACCTCTTAATTTACCTTCGCAACGCATTACCCACATATGACTTAGCGGGCCAAGTATTTTAATAATACGTGGATAATGAATAAGGTTATGAAACTTTAAAGCTAAGCCACACTTAAATGCAAAATAGTGTTTTTGTAAAAGTTCAGTAATGAGAGAACCAAAATGTAAAAAATCAGGTTTGCTACAATACAAACCAAATGAGTAAAGGACAATCTGTCTTAACAATAAAAAAACAACACAAACATTGTCTTCAAAAGGAACTAAATCTCCAACTAATAAAGGAAAGCTTAAAACTAAATTTAGCATTTCAATTGCACCAATATTAATTTAACCATTTTTTATTTGATACTCAGTGAGACATGAAGGAATTGACGAGTGATCATATAAAATTTCTCATTCTGCTATTAATGTCACCTAGATTAAAGAACTTTTTCTAAAATACTAGATAGTTTAACATTTTTTGAAAAACATTTTTACAAATGCTTTTTAACAAATCGTGCATAATATCACAATAAATATTATCATTAACATGAAATGATAGAATTTTATTAAAGCAACACTTTTCCTTTATACCATTTAGGAAACAATTATGTAAAGAAACGTCATAATCATAACATTCTCTAGTTCTAAGTAATTCGACAGATTCAACAAAAATACTGTCAAAGTCTTTATGTTTCATTTTGCATATTCTGCATGGGTATTTTGCAGTAAAACTTTCTCCATAACCTAATATTCCATTTAAACCAAGATTGTCACCAATAATTTGAGAAAGAACAACATATATTTTAAATTTATTGCAATCTATTTTTATAGTAAAACCTTTTGTTTCCAATTCTGTCATTTTTTCTATGTATATAGAAAATGCATTTTTATTCGAATACTTAATGCGATTAGAAGAATATATAACTGCACTTAACAAAATTTTCTCAAGTTTTGAATTATGTAGTGGTTTTAAACATTTTAGAATTGTACACAAAGCTCCAATTTTGTGAACAGTGCTATGTGAACCTAATGGATTAGCAGTTTCTAAATCATCAAAAAAACAAAAAACTGGTATTACTAAAAGTATTTTGGGAATGACCATATTGACGGCGTAATTGGTGATTTTGCCTCAACTCTCCATCTTTAAAATCTGAAACTAAACCATTAGTAGATGGTTTTGTATTACTTCTTATTTCATCAAGTACACCAGGAAGACAAAGAAAAACTTTAAGACACTGCTTTAATGAAACAAATTGTCATGTTGGTATACAAATTGTCATGTTGGTAAACTACTCCTTTAGCTGTTTTTTGAGTGTTTATAAAATGACCTATTAGGTATGATTTTAATTTTATATAATACCCTTTCTTTTCAAAATAATTTGTTTGATTATGCAAACTTTTTAAGCCTTGAAAAGGTTTTTGGAGGCGTAAGATATTTTCAAAGAAATTATTATATTCATCTTTTTTGGAGACTTGAGACTTTGCTTGTCAAATATTCCTTGGGTCTCATTACTAATTCCTTTTACAATTGTTGACACAAAGTCTGAACATGCATCAACAATTTTCAATGTAGTGGTTAGGGGTATATTAGAATAACTTCTTAGTTTAGAAATGAAATAAGCGGAATCTTCAAGTATACCATCGGTTTCATCAAATTTTAAACCAAATTTTAACATCTGGGCAAACAGGTTCGGCATTGTGAACAGCTAGAGACAAGTTATTTGAATGGAAACATCGTTGCATTGTATCTGCTTTGTCTAAAGTAGGTACTAAAATAACTCCTTGATGAGATTTTTCAATATGTTTTGAAAGACTTTGGAAAGAATTATATTCCATCGGACAACCACCCTGACTGTAAACTAATCTTTCGCCATAACTATGTTTGTTGTGAAATACTTTTAGATGACATTTATAAGAATTGCTGCAGCTTGCAGTATATTCTCAATAAGCACAGTTAATCATGATTATAGTGAAATTAATAAAAATTCTTTTTAGTTGAAACTACGATACCTGACAATTAATGAAGAAAAAAAATGGCGACAAAACCTAGTTTTTTTTAATGTTTGCAATCCCGTGGCGCATTTGGTGAAAATAACAAAAACAATTTTGTAAATTTAACCAAATAAATTTGTTATATTTTGCGTTAAGACAAAAACCGAAAAGATCATCAAACCAAATGAATTGGTTAAAATAACAAAATCAATTTGGTAAAGCTCACAAAAGATTTGGTATATTTTACTAAACAAGTTTGTGACTTTTACCAAATTTACTTAACCAAACATATTTGGTTAAATTAACAAAACTTTTTTTTGCAGTGTAGTAACTGTTAAGTTACTATTAAAATGGTCAGGGTTAGGGTTATATGGAAAAGGCCAGGGCCAGATAGGGATCATATTATGACATTTAAATTTGTAAAGATAAAATATTTGAAGCAGTTTAATAAAACTAAATGGAATTAGTAGATACATTAATAGACTTAAGACGTGAACTAATCAGCTCTTTTTCTTTTTTTTTTGTCTCGTACTTCTTTTCTTAAGTTGATTAGCTTCGTCCTCACACTCGAATAATTTTTATTTTCTACTTTATTCAAAAATTCATTGAAAGTTTCTCTACCTACAAAATTTTTTTTTCATTTTTAAGAAATAATATTTATAAAAAAATTAATAAGTATAAGAAGAAAATCGAATTCAATTTTGCTTACTAGGCCATGCCAATTCAATATCATGAATAAAGTTTTTAAAATCAGTTTTCAAAATTTGGGTTTCACATGAACTCCATGATGAGCGTTCTCGGACTAAATAAATAAAGAATAGAATTGATAAAATAAATATATAACAGAGAATTGTTGTAAACAAAGCGTAAATTGTTTGACTGTCTGACAAATTGTTTTGAAAACTATTAAGTTAAGATATTTAAATATGTTAAGGTTGAAAAAAAAAATTCGTTTTATGACGATTTTAACAGACATGTTTTCAGACCCCTCAAATTATATTGTATTTGATGCATGAATATATAAACTGTATTTATAAATGTATTTATAAATGCTCTTTTTGTTTGTTTTAGGTGCCCCCAAGAAGACCCAATGGTCTTCCTATTCCTTCTACCTTCTAAAGCAAGCACTCTAATCAATTTGCTATAAAAGTATGTAAATACATCATATTTACATACTATTGACACGTCATGTATAAGATATTTTAAAAATAAACCTTTTAACTATCAAGGTGAAGCTAATTGTGAACCTTAGTTAAAGTTCTATTCTTCTTTGGTATTTTTAACTCGTGCTTTACTTATATAACTTCTAAAACTAGTTATTTAAGAAAACATAAAACTAAATTACCTTGGGTCATCGCTTCTGCTTGATTTTCCAAGGAATTTTCCGGAATTTTTAATATGTCGAAATCAACTTTATCTAACGACATTAAAACATAACATTAATTGAAACATAAATTAAAAAAAAAAATTAAATAAAACATTTATAAATATATATTAACATACATTCTGAATTATTATAAATATATCTATTTTATCTATAATTATAAATATATTAAAATATTTATAAACCTTGAAAGATAAAAATATTTATATAAAGATTAATCATATATATCATATAACATAGTAGCGGATCCAGGCTGTAGCAAGAGTGGCAATTAATACAGTCAGCTCAGTTTTGTTTTCTCCTTTTTTTTTTACATTCATTTTTATTTTTATGCAAAAGAGAAAAACTAAAATAAGATATAGAGGTAACAAGTAGTCAAAATGCGGTGCTTCAAAAGAATATTGAAAATCGTAGCTGAGCCAAGTTGACTATGTTACGGAAATATTTCAACTGGAAAAATGAAATGCTT